CGGAGAAGTGACGGTGGGTACAAAAATAGCCCCTGTTATTTCATTAGCAATTTTTTATAATAGAACATTGTTTTTCAAAATCGACATCTTTTTGGCCTATTGACCAAAAAGAGGATTATTTTGCTAAATATTTAGCAAAGTGATCTATTTTGCTAAATATTTAGCAAAAGTGGTCTATTTCAAAAAAATTTCCAAAAAAAATAATACGGTCATGTACCTGATCTTATCTAACCCGTTCAAATAGGATCAAATCTGGACCCAACATTACAATATCCGGCCCGTTTGACCCTTTAAACAGCCAAGTAATATGAATTGAATACAGAAACAAAGTTTTTTCATAGTGTTGTTTCCTTGTACTAAGTAGCATATAGCTGGTTCAAACGCGCCTCAATGAGATGTAGTCTATATATAACATCGATCTCAAACACGCCTCAATTAGATGTAGTCTATCTGTAACATCGATCTCTTGTGAGCCCACTCTTTATTTTGTCCTCTTCAATCCTTCCATTAGGTTCTTATATATTCTGTGCTTTTGGAATTAAATCCCAAATTTGTTTTTAAGTAAAAAAACAAAGATGGAACAAACATTTATCGCCGCAAACTATGTAAGACTTCTTATAAAACATCTTATCAATTAGTTTTCATCTCAGGCTACCTAGCTAACATGGTGGACCAAAACAACCCTCCACTCTTCAACACTTACAAGTCCTTCTTCAGTCACCAGCCGTCCGATCAACATCGGATGGCCGAAACTGATGAATGCGAGCTCCCTTTAATTGATCTCAGTTGCTTGAAGAACAGTCAAGCCCAAATGATCCAGTGCAAGAGAGATATAGTAACAGCTTCATCAGTGTGGGGGTTCTTTCAAGTGGTGAATCATGGGATACCTGAGGAGCTGCTAGAGAAGATGAGGTCGATCATGGTTAACGTGTTCAGGCGTCCATTTGAGACGAAGGCGAAGGAGAGGCTGTTTGACTTCTCGCCTCATAGTTATCGGTGGGGAACACCGTCAGCCACATCGTTGAAACAGCTATCGTGGTCTGAGGCGTACCATATTGCACTGTCGCCAAGTCCTCAGCAAGAAAAACAAAGCACCAGGTACGTGTGTGATATTATGTTTTACGTTCTAAAACCAAAATCCATATAGTGAATTCAGAAACTTTCTTTGCTACTTGAGAATTACTTGGATTTACACGGTGCATTAGCCTCAGGTGGGGAACACCGTCAGCCACATCGTTGAAACAGCTATCGTGGTCTGAGGCGTACCATATTGCACTGTCGCCAAGTCCTCAGCAAGAAAAACAAAGCACCAGGTACGTGTGTGATATTATGTTTTACGTTCTAAAACCAAAATCCATATAGTGAATTCAGAAACTTTCTTTGCTACTTGAGAATTACTTGGATTTACACGGTGCATTAGCCTCAAGCTGTGCCCTTGCATTCCTCACAGTAATACCGAAACATGATTTGTGCTCTATTAAAGATATTGCAGTCACCAACCTTCTCTTCTTTGATGCAGGCAAACAATAGAGGAGTTTGCAACTCTAATGTCAAATCTAGCACACCAGCTATCTTCTGTACTATCGGAAGGATTGGGATATGAAGGCACTTATCTCAAGGATAGTTGCACGTGCAATACATGCTATTTGAGACTGAATCACTACCCTCCATGTCCAATTATCGATGAAGTTTTTGGATTGATCCCACACACAGATAGTGATTTCATGACCATATTGGTCCAGGATCAAGTAGGCGGTCTACAGTTAATGAAGGATGGGAGATGGATCGCAGTCAAGCCCAACCCGAATGCTCTCATCATCAACATCGGAGATCTGTTCCAGGTACGAGCAAAATAATTTCAGTCGATTTTTTCACACACTGTATTCTGGCATTTAACAGGAATAAATTCCTGCAGCAGGTCCTCCATAGAATATCTCATTGAGAAGAACGAGGGAGTGATGTCTGACATATCATGCAGTCGCCTGCTACACTAATAAATATAAATGATACGTGCATATGATCAATATTCGTGATATGCCAAGCATCGCACCCTCCCTCCTCCTACTATGATGCTTCTAATAGATGGCCTCTATAGGATCCCCCCCCCCCCCCCCCGCCCATTTAGCAGTGCAAATTTTGTTAGTGCGTTATAACAGTAAGTAGATAAGAGAACAAAAAACCTTCTTTGGCGAGAATAGTTAACGGCGTAGATGTTAGAAGAGCTCAGGTGTTATACGAGGAAGTGTTATGAGGTTAATTTAATATCATAAGCATCAAATGTTATGGCACCAAACAGGAGTTAATGTAGCAACAAAAAAGCTCTCCCCAGAAAGTAGGGTAAGTTGTATTACTATTAAAGAAAAAGAAAAGAAAGATTGTTCTTAACATAAAAACAATCATTACTTAGTATACAATTTATGACGATGATTGATAATAAGTTTACTTTCTTGAATTATTTTAGGCGTGGAGCAATGGCGTGTATAAGAGTGTGGAACACAGAGTAATGTCTAATCCACACCTCGAGAGGTTCTCTGTGGCTTATTTTCTCTGTCCCTCCTATGATACCATGATCCAGAGTCAGACAGAGCCATCGATGTATAGAAAATTTACCTTCAAGGAATTTAGGCAACAAGTTCAGGCAGATGTGAAGTTGACAGGTCACAAGATTGGGCTACCCAGGTTTCTTGCTTGAAGCCATGAGTCCATGACTATAGAGGCTAACAACAATAAGGAGATCAAAGGCAGTTTCCCCCCACTTTTCCATAGATTTTGTTGTTTTTGTTCCTTTCAGATAGATTCGAAAGAATAAATGTTTACATAGGATAGCATTTGTTAGAGAACAGGTTTGTCCTGACAAAGTCTGGAAGCTTGTAAAGATGACTGGTATTTGACAATTTTTGAAAGAACTTATTGAACTGAAGAAACAGAGTAATTTATGAGGATTGTTGACTCTCAATACACTTAATATAATCAGATGTTGCCTCTGATTATATTTTCTTTTTGCTGAACTACAAGTGCGATTATGAAGCTCCTAGTAACCTTTGTTGCTGGCTACTACGATACAAGTTCGATTACAAGGAAACTAAAAAAAGGATTAGTTTTCAGCCTTATGATCGGTCCATACATAATATATAATGTTTATACACACACTTTGCCAGTCTAAGAGCAGCTCCAACCGGGCTGCATTTCTCCAAAATGCAGCCCGATTGAAGTCCAACCGAGCTCCAAATTTTGGAGCTCGGCTGCAAACCTAACCCACCAGCTGCATATTTGGAGTTTTTTCTCCAAATATGCAGCCCCCTCTATTTCACTATTCCCCTTAAAAAATGTCAATATTAACCCTCAATCTCCTTAACAACATTTCATTATTCCACTTGTGTCCCATTATTATTATTTTACTTATTTAAAATATGTGTATATATATATATATTAATATATTAAATATTTTTAATGAAAATAATATCATTGGAAATGTCTCGTCGATACCTTCAAAATGAGACTAATATTAAAATATAAAATCTGTATATATATATCAATATTCACCCAAAAAAATTCCTAATTTACCCTTCAAACTAACTAACTACTTTTAGATATCCACTTATGCCTATTTAATTATTAGTTTATAATTTTTATATATTTTTAAATTAAGTAAAAGAATTGTTAAATGAAGAGAAATTGAAATGGAGTTGGAAATGGAGGAGTGTGGTTGGAGTTGTAAAGCTCTATTTTAGCATATTCCTTAGAATATGCTTTAGTGGGACTCCAAAATGGAGCCAATGGTTGGAGTTGCTCTAAGCACGCCTATTTCCAATAAAAGATGAGTGCATGATAATTTTCTAATGAGTTTTTCATCTTTATATCTCTCAGATCAGCTATTAATTTCTCATTTCAGATTCCTTTTCATGATTTTTGCAATAATATTTTGCTACGTTATAGACGTGAAAGCTATGCTCGTCTGCAGAGCAACAAAGTCACTATCTACAACCAAGGGAATTGCAATTTTAATGTATTCCTTGCCTTGAAAATGATGGTGCAAGCTTCAGGGAATTAGCTACAAGATCGACGCCAAAGATCTCTTAAGAGAGAACCGTGCATAAGCTTTATGTCTATTGGAACAGACCATCAGTGGGTTTCAGTCAAATGAAAGACGTGAAGATTGTAGACCATAAGCCGTTGCTCTTCACTCAACATTTTTCGTCTTCTGTCGACATCCATAACAACGAAATGGTATCAACTGATACCAGTTTGATTTGTGTGAGAAAGAGAAAGGATAACAGGAACAAATACTTGAGTGATCTAGGGAATAACCAAACAAGTAATTGATGGGTTGTTGGTTTTGGGGTGTGTAGACTCAAACTTGAGAACAAAATCAGAAGCTGAAAAATACCCCGATCAGTCGACCGAAGAAGCAGATCAGTCGACCGATTCGACTGTAGGAAACAAGCTGGAAAACGTCGCTCTGATCGATCGACTGGCGGGGTGCCACTAGTCGACCGACAACTTGCACGAAGCGGCCGAGAAACCTCTTATCAGTCGACTGATATGCAAGTGCATCAGTCGACCGATATTGGGTCATCCTGTTTCCTGATTCGGTTGGGAATCTGTTTTGAGTTAGGGTTATATTATATCCTGAACGATGTTGTGAGGATTTGTACACGAAAAAGAGAGGGTTTTGAGAACACTTTGAGAGAGAGATCTCTCAGAGAGAGTGATAGCCTTTTACAAGCTTGTAATCTTCTTCAATAATCAAAGAATTTCTGGTGTGGCTCCCGAGGACGTAGGCACATTTGCCAAACCTCGTTAAATCTGATGTTCTCTCCTTTTATTTGTTCTTTCCTAAAAAGTTTTTCGTTTTGTTGTGATTTCTTGCTTGCTAATTGTTCGTCACAAGATCCGGAGGGCACGTTACGCGGAGGTTCTTTGACAGGTTGTCGATAGATTAACCCCAACAACTGGTATCAGAGCCTCGTTCGGCAAAGATCTGTGTGAGATCTATGGCAGAAGAAAGTAAATCAAAGATTAAGAAGTTTGACGGATCAGGCTTCGCCTATTAGAAGTCGCAGATGGAGGACTATCTGTACCAGAAGGATCTTTACCATCCATTGATGGGAAAAGCAAAGGGAAAGAAGAAGGAGGAGACAGCCAAGGAGTGGGACGTACTGGATCAGAAGGTTTTAGGGAAGATCTGGTTGTCGCTCGCAAAACCAATCTCCCATAATATATTGAAGAAAAAGATGACAGTGAGGCTTATGGAAGTGCTCACGAAGATGTATGAGCAATCGTCAGCTGCAAACAAGGTGCATCTTATCAAGATGCTCTTCAACCTCAAGATGGTAGAAGGATACTCATTCATGTTGCATCTCAGCGAGTTCAACACAATTGTTGATTAACTCATCTCAGTCGACATCATGTTTGATGATGAAGTGCAAGCCCTACTGTTACTATCGCAGTTGCCTGATAGCCGGACAGGTTGTGTGACCGTAATTAGCAACTTGGTAGGAAAGAAGAAGTTGAAACTAAGCGAGATTGTTAGTATGATTCTATCCGAGGAGGTTAGAAGAAAGTCGGCAGAATCAGAGGGTTCAGGTTCAGCCCTAAATTTCAAACAGAGAGGCCGAAGTCAGAATAAGGGTAACCAGAATAGGAAGCAGTCAAAGTCGAATAAGAAGAGGTCGAACTCGAAGGTGAGGCCTATAAAAAAAAAGTGTTAGAACTGCGGCTAGAAGGGCCACATGTCTTCTGTCTGCAAAGTGTCAAGGAAGTATACAAATAAGCAGGATGCTCATATTGTGTAAGATGCCTTAATCCTTGCTATGGATAGTGACACTGATTCATGGGTTATTGATTCGGGATCCTCATTCCACGCCACTGCTAATAGGAAGCTTCTTTAGAACTATATAGCAGGGGACTTTGAAAAAATATACTTGGGGGATAACGAGCCTTGTAGTATTATGGGAAGAGGCGATGTGTAGATTCAGATGAAGGGTTCTAAGTGGCCTCTGAAGAATGTCAGACATATACCAAAGTTGAAAAGGAATCTTGTTTCAGTTGGCCAGCTTGGAGTGGAATGCTATGTTTCAACATTTATCGGGGATTCATGAAAGATCTCTAACTGTACTATGGTGGTTGCTCACGGTAATAAAACCTGAACTCTCTATTTAACTTCACATGCGAGTGACACCTTCGTAATTGCAGCTAGTAAGGAAAGTGCAGATCTATGGCACAATAGGTTGGGACATATGAGTCAGAAATATATGAAGATTCTACACTCACAGGGAAAACTACTCGGCATCAATTCAGTAAAAGTTGGTGTTTGTGAAGATTGCATCTACGAGAAGCAAAAGAAGGTCAGTTTTTAGAAGAGTGTAAGACCACCTAAAGCTCACAAGCTAGAGCTTGTTCATATAGATGTATGTGGTTTAACTAGTGTGTCTTCTCTTGGCGGTTTAGCGTATTATGTCACCTTTATCGACGATCACTCGAGGAAGGTGTGTGTATGCTTCATTAAACACAAGTCAGATGTGTCTGTGATCTTCAAGAAGCGGAAAGTCATGGTAGAGAACGAGACAGATATGAAGGTGAAGTGTCTGAGATCGAACAATGGTGGAGAGTATGAGCTGGAGGAGTTCAAGAAGTTCTGTGGTCTGAATGAGATTCGTTTAGAAAGGACTACTCCAGAAACACCATAACAGAATGGCGTTATAGAAAAGATGAACAGAACGTTGACAGAGCGTGCGAGGAGCATGCGTCTACATGCAGGTCTACCTAAGATGTTTTGGACGGACGCGATGCATACAACAGCTTACTTGATAAATCAGGGGTCTTTAGTTCCATTAGACTTTGGGATTCCAGAAGAGAAGAAGAGGATTGGAGTGGCGAGAAAGTAAATCTCTCACACTTGAGAGTCTTTGGTTGTGTGGCATATGTTCATATCAGTGATCATATCAGGGACAAGCTAGAAGCTAAGTCACAGAAGTGTACATTCATTGGATACGACATTGATGAGTTCAAATATCATCTGTGGGATGAAAAGAACAGAAAAATCATCAGGAGTAGAGATGTCATATTTATTGAAGAGGTGATGTACAAAGACAAGGACAACGACAAGGATAGCCAAAGCAGTGAGAGAAGCACTAATGATGCATGTACATCCGAGTACATTGATTTAGAGGAACTTCCAGATAGGGGAGACAATGTCAGTTCTAACCAAAGAATGGAGGAGACTCAAGGTGTAGAGACTAATACCCAGGGCGAGGAGCTTAGAAGGTCATCCATAGCAGAGCCGACCTTAAGCTAGGGCCACCAGGGCTACAGCCCGGGGCCCACACCTGAGGGGGGCACAATATTTTGGAGAAAGAATAGCAAGAGAAAAAAAATAAAAAACATTAAAGAAGAAATAAGCTCTAATGGCCTTGAAAACCCAGCCCACCGAACCCAAAAAAACACAACTCCCATCATTTCCCACACCCCAATGTCCCAAAAAACACAACTCCCAACAGTAATTTAACACCACACCGCCCCCTCTCCTCTCTCATTGGTTGGCACAGTGTCACACTGAGGTGGACTTGAAAGCACACATATTTTCCTGTCCCCTTAGATATCTCTATCTCTCTCTCTCTCTCAGTCACTTGCTCTGGTTGCTCAAATCCTAGCTCTCCTCTGTGGTTGTCTTTTTTTTATCTTTTCTTTTGATTGCTTTGGGGATTATGGGTTCGTTGGGAGGAGCATCCCTTGAGGTGGTGAAGAGGAAGAAGGCAATGTGACTTTAGTAAAGTTAAAAGCCCCCCGACCTGGCGACCTTCTTTCTCAGTTCATACATTTGATGCTTATGATGGTTGATATATATTTTTGTAGCTAGGATGGGGAAAGGTCTAATCTTTGTGTATATTTTGATTTGAGCGCTCTTATTTTATAGTTTTTGACAAATTTTTGGTTAGTGAGTAACAGTTAATTTCCTTAAAATAGGTAAATTTGA